GGCCAGCAATGAACGTGGGTGGAGGTGGATATTCGCGGCTGGGAGCCCTCACGGGGCCCCAGCCCCTGGCACAGCAAGGGCCTCAGCAAATGATCCTGAGCTAAGAGGACGTGCGAGGGAGCTTGTGCTTGTGCCCCCGCAGCTCCCTCGTTTGTCTGGGGAGGTCTGACTTCTCTCCCAGGGTCCAGCCGCCTGCAGAGCCCTGGAGTAAGGTTAGGGCAGTGGAGGAGGAGGGCACAGTGTGTGAGCATGTGCTCCTGGCTGGGTGGGAGTCTGTGGAGTCTGGGTGAGAGGTCACACGCCAGGTGGATGTCCCGAGGTGGGCACGCTTACGAAAGTGCTGTGAATTCGATGGAACTCGCTCAAGTGTCCTCTTGAGTGGGAGGGCAGCCTGCCAGGTGAGTGCACCCTGCCGGTAGGTAATTGCATGCAGGTATGGGGGTGTGTGCAGGGCTTTGCAGAATGAGGTCACAGGCGCAGGTGGTATGTTCAGATGGGAAGCCACCCTCTGCTGTAAGTAGAGGGGGAGCCTCCCACCGCTGGTGGCTCAGCCGGACTACACCTTCCAGTCTGCTCCCCTCTTCCTGACTGGAGTCCAAACCCGCACCAGCCCCAGAGTGGCACATGGAGGACCGAATGCAGTGACCTCGTTCCAGGGCATTACTCTATCTCTCTCCAGGACACATTCACTCACATGAGCACCCCAACCTCGGGGGCACCAGAAGAAAGGCTGTGGGTCTCGGACCTGGGGGCCTGTGAACAGGGGAAAGAGGAGGGAGAGGCACCTGCTGTAGGGGTGGGCAGATTCCCTCAGGTTGGGCTGGTTTCCAGGATGTGTCCTCCCACGCCCCTCCCTAAGAAAATGAGGCTCCTTAACACTAGTGAGAGAGCTTGAGGTTCCCAAGTCTGAATCCTCGGCTGGATCCTGGGCTCCCACAGGTTTATTCATTGAACTGGAGTGGAGGATCTCACCGTGGCTTGGTGGTCTCAAATGTGGACATGGGATGTCTGGGCCACCGACCCCTGAAAGCCAGGCTGGTTTCTATAGTTCATCTGGTTTGAGGCTTAAAATAATTTCTGGCCCTGGCTGGTGTGACTCAGCTGATTGGAGGCAGCACCCCTGACCTTGCCCTGGAAGGTCGCAGGTTCCATTCCAGTCACGGCACTTACCAAGGTTGGGGTTGGATCCTTGGTTGGGGCACCTACAGGAGGCAACCAAGTGTGTATCTCTCTCACATCCATGTTTCTCTCTCTCTCCCTTCCTCTCTAAAATAAATTTTAAAAAATTAAAATAATGATTTCTGGAAAACAGTCCAAGGAAGCTCTGAAAGGAGGAGCCTGGCTACCCCTTCCCAGGATCTGGCTTCCGTCTTCTCTTTCCACCCACTCCCCACCCCGCAACTCCAGGACGCAGTTAACGCAAAGATTTCCTTGACTTGGAAGGAAAGCTGTTGAAAGGTGGGGCCTGGGTCCTATGCTCCTGAAGAAGGTATTATCCCAGACTCACTCCCTTACCCTCACTTCATGCGGGAGGAGGGGGGGGGGGTGTTTGACCCCTTTCTCTCAAACGAATTCTCAGCCTCCAGCGCGTGGAATTTGTCAGAAGTGAATGGTCTGGTTTCTACCCCTGTCATAGAATCTGTCCGGGTCAGAATACACCCATGCGCAGGCCTACTCAACTTTCTGGAAGCTCTGTGCCCCACCCCTGCACACACCACCCTTCCCCCCCCCCCCTCCTGAGGTTTGGCTTCCTGGAGGAACTCGCCAGCAGCTCCTGGGTCTGCAGTGGGGCCAGGCTCCTCGCGCCCGCGCTTTTCTCTGAGATCCCTAGACCTCAGACCTCAGAGGCGGCTGGGCAGGTAGGGCGCCACCCAGTAGTCGTGCTAAGTGGAAGCGGCAGCGTCCTGAGGTGCCTGGGCCGAGTGTGCACGCCCAGTCGGTCCACGCCCCGGTGGCTTCGGCCAGAACCCCGTGGCCCTGTGAGTTCGAAAGCACAGCGGGAAACGCGTGGTCTGGAGCGGAGGGAGAACAATAGGAAAACGCACTTGTCTGGCTAATTAAGCGAATTTTCATTACTCTGAACGAAAGAGAAAAGTAGATAATAAACGTGAGAGTGGGGGACCATTAGAACAAGGAAAAGGGGGGTTTTTCCACAGAGAACCACAGATAGAGAAACCCCAGGCGACCTCGCCCGAGGAGCGCAGCGTTAACCCCAGATGTTGCCTTACAAAAGGGAAACAAAATGCGAAACCTGTTACCTCTGCAGATTGAGCTGCAACGCAGGGCCCTGAGGTGAGGACGGGAGAGTGAGGCGGAAGTTAAAACTACTCCTGGGGGCTGCGGCGACCTTGTCTCTGGGCCGAAGGATGGACACATGGGTGCGCATCGGGCTTCCAAGAGGATCTGAGGAGACAGGGAGACCCCTTTTTACTTTCGTTTAAAAAACAAAATCAAACTGTTTATTAATTTAAAACAACAAAAATAATCCCGCCACCATGGAAAAGAAATCTGTATGCTGCAAAGCGAGGGAAGGAAAGAGCAGGAGGGGAGAGGGCTGGGGTTCGGGAGGGGCGGAGCGGGGAGAAGCGCAAAGGAGAGGGAAAGGCGCAGTCGGCTCGGACGGGAGGCGCAATCTCATTTCTTCTCAGGCTCCACTTTAAAAACAAAAACCCTATTAACCACACTTACCTTTGTGAGGCCTTATCGTATCAGAACATTTTAAACAATTTGCGCTTTAAAGGCTGCAACAGAAAAAATCAAAACAGGCTCCTGACTACCTCAAATGCATTGCACGGGGGACGCGGAAACAGCCGGAAGGAAGCTGGAAAAGAGTCTTGGCACCTTCTCCGCGCGCGTTGCAACCCCGCCCCGATCGCGGTAATTGAAATGTCACCTGCCCCCATCTCGCCCCGGGCCGCCAGGGCCACTTGGGAAAGTGGGTCTTGCCTCGCGCCCCGTCCAGGGAGAGCGGCGCGGCAGAGCCCGCACCCCAGAAGCTGAGGGGTTACACAGGTCTACGTAGAGGCGCCACCCGACACGGTAATTAAGCGCAATTCACACGCTCTCCAGCGCGCGGAAACTACTTGTCACGATATGTTCAACGCTCCTTCTGGCCCACTTTTCTCCACTCCTCCCCGGCGCCCCCCTCCCTCCCGGAGGCGCTCGGTGAAGCCTTTGGAGTTTCGAATCTTCCGGACACTGTAGAACGCGGGGCTCCCCGGGCGCGGGGCCGGCCAATCAGAGTGCCGTCTGCCTCCCCTGACCAATGGCAGGCGCCACATTGTTGTCCAATTCTGTCTAATGGAGCCCTAAGGAGCAACAATAGAGCGGGCGAGCGGCTCAGTGAGAGTCTGGCAGCGCCGGGCAACTGCGGCCCGGCTGTGCGCAGTGTCCGGGGCGCTCCGCGAGGGGACGCGGCGCGGCCAGGGCAGGGTCGTGGGTTCCTGCCAACCGGTCCCCAGACGGTCCCCGGGCTCCAATTCCCGACGGAAGGGCTGGACTCCGCAGCGTCCAGAGGGGTCCGGAAGTTGGGACATGGTGACTGAAAGAGGGTGACGTGGTCAGATAAGGAGCCAGGGGGCCAAGAGAAGAGGCCCGGGGCGCCAGCGTCGGAGCGGAGCTGGGAGGCGCGCGCGGCGCCAGCGGAGGAGGGAGAGGAGCCCGGAGCCCGGAGGCAAGTAGTTGAGGGCCGCCGGGAGGGCAGAGGACGCGGCCGGGTCTGCGCCCCGGTGGACTAGGCCCGGGCCGTGCTGGCCTCAGGGCATGTGCTGCTCGAGGGGCCCGAAGGTAGAGGCCGCGCGTGTTGCAGAGGGGAGGGGTCTAGGACTGTGGGACGGTGACACCAGTATTCGGTCCCGGGCTCTGGCGGGGACCCAGGGTCCCAGAAGAAGCCGCGGAGGAAACTCGGAGCGGGCCTGCTTGGGCCTTCAGGGGCCTTGGCGCGGGTGGAGTCCTGTGTTCTCTCTGAGTCAGTTCCAGAGGCCATTCCCCTGCCTCGGTGCCGCCCGCGAAACCATCCTCATCCCAGGAACCCATCTCTGAGAGCAGAACGCAGCGATCTGCGCCCGAGCGGGGTCCCGAGAGGCCCCAGGACGGGGAGGGCTGTCTGATTTGGTGCCTAAGCCCGGAGGGGAGCAGAAGGCCCAGTGAGGTGGTCAGAACCTCCGCCCTGCGATACCTAACTTTTGCAGGATACTTTTTCCTCCCTGACAACTCCTCCAGATTCTAATTGTGTCACAGGTTTTACTCATTCCCACCCCGGCCTATCACTGCGGGTTTTTTCTCTCTCTAACACGCCCCTCTCGCCAGGGCCACTTGGGAAGGTCGGTCTTGCCAAGCCCCAGGGCAGTGAGAGCGGCGCAGCAGAACCCGGGGACCCAGACACTCAGGTCCGCTGTTTTTGGCGATCCTCAGGCTGGCTAATCTTTGGGCTGGGTTTGCCTATCCAGAGTTCCTTCAGCTGAGTTTTCTCTTTAACTCCCCTCTCCAGGCCTCCTACACTCAGCTCCACACCCATTTTTTCCTCCCACTCTATGAAGGTCCGCACCACGGAATTTGTAGCTCCCACCTTTCCAAGGTTCTCTGGGCCCCTGGGCCTAACTTTGTCCCTGAGCTGTTTCCTACCCCTCACCCCACTTCCTAGAGCTATTCTTCCTATTCCTGATTTCCCCCTTGAACTCTCCTTCTCCCACCAGCAAGACAAGACAAAACAAAACAAAAACAAAAAAACCTCCAGCTCAACTAGCTGCACTCTCCTTTTCTCTCCTCTTCACTCTTCCACAAAACTGGCATTTCCCCTCAGATGTTCCTGTTTTGTCTTAGCATCAATCTGTTGGGTCAAAATCGTCCCTCTAAAACAAATCCCATCAAACATTTCTGTCGTCTTACCCCCAATGAAGCTAAACTTTGGGGGATATTGTTGTTGTTGTTTTTCCAAATTCTCCTTATATCCATCTGAACCAGTGACCTTTCAAACTTTTTTATTTTTCCAGCAGAACCACTGATTCAGATGAAATCTAACACCCAGCCCACGAATCAGATATAAGAAGAGCTCTGGAAGGAGTGGGGTGGGGGGAGCTCGGCCTTACAAGGGGGCTCCAAAGGCACCTCCTCCCAGCAAGTTGACAACCAAGAGCCAAACTTCTGGCTCCGAAATTTCCCTCCCTCAGCCTGGGTTTCTCGAGGGTGCGCTTTAGCTTCGCGCACCGTGCCCTCCTCACCCCAAGTCTCTCCCCTCTCCCCACTGTCTTCCATGCCAGGTCCTGACATGGAGCTTCGCTCGGAGTTGCCCAGCGTGCCCGGCGCGGCGACGGCGGCCACGACAGCGACGGGGCCGCCCGTGGCATCTGTGGCCTCGGTGGCGGCGGCGGCGGCGGCGGCCGCTTCGCTGCCGGTGAGCGTGGCTGGCGGCTTGCTCCGGGCGCCCCCACTGTTGTTGCGGGCGGCGGAAAAGTACCCGCGGACCCCCAAGTGCGCGCGCTGCCGCAACCACGGCGTGGTGTCGGCGCTCAAGGGCCACAAGCGCTACTGCCGCTGGAAGGACTGCCTGTGCGCCAAGTGCACGCTCATCGCCGAGCGCCAGCGCGTCATGGCGGCGCAGGTGGCGCTGCGCAGGCAGCAGGCGCAGGAAGAGAACGAGGCGCGCGAGCTCCAGCTGCTCTACGGCACCGCCGAGGGCCTGGCGCTGGCCGCGGCCAACGGCATCATCCCGCCGCGACCCGCCTACGAGGTCTTCGGTTCGGTGTGCGCCGCCGACGGCGCGGGGCCGGGAGCCGGAGCGCCCGCGGGGACTGGAGGAGGCGCGGCGGGCGCCGGGAGCTCAGGTGAGAGCGCGGCCCTGCCGGGAGGAGAGGGGAGCAGTAACGGGGTCCAGGGACTTGATTGGGTACCGACAGAGCAGAATCCCCTTCTCCAAACGTCCCTTCTGCTAGAGTTCCCCGCGCACCCAGCCCTGATGTGGGACATAAGTACATAAACTCTCTGTCCTCCCCTTTCTGAAGCATTTGCCTTTTACTTTTCTTTCACCGCGGGCCCAGTTGTGAACGCTTTAGTCTTATCTCCTCTAAACAGGTTCCAGCTTCCCTGCTCACTGTGCCGGGCCTTCTCCCCAGCGCGGAAGCCTGCGCGCGTCTCTTCTCCTCCATTCTGTGCTTTTCCACCCGTCGCAGTTGCCTCCTCTCCTGCCCACTCTCTTCGGAAACCCGACCCTCTCCAAGCCCCCTCCTCCGCCCCGCCCCTCTCTCTCTAGGTGTCGAAGACAACTCGTTCTCTTTCCACTTGTGATTCCTGTAATCGCGTTCCCATTGCTCCTCGGACAACCGCAGGTCGTGCCCTGCTCCTTTCCCCACTCGTCCCCGGTTTCTCAGAGTCCGCGCTCTCACCTCCCCGAGGCTTTTCCTTTACTCCTCTACTGCCTGCCTGGCCCCACCCTCTTCTTCAAAACTCTTTGGACTTTTTCTGGGGAGGGAGGAGACCTGGCGGGCGCCTTTGGGGCCCTCTCAGCTCTCAGCGGGGGAGACAAGAACTTCTTAGGTCTTAATTTCGGAAAGGGTGGCTGAGAAACAGGGGCTTTGTTTTTTGCCTGTCGAGAAGTTTGGGACCTTGTAGATGTCCAAGGCGCTTTCCTATACAGGCTCTGCTGCCTGGGGCCAGAGGGCACCCCGGCCTGGGTTGGCTTTTCTATAAGGGGTGGTGCAGCTGGAAGTTATGTTGGCTCCTGTTTGAACCCAGGGCCAGGTCCCTCTTCCAGGGCAGGGCAGAGCAGGGCTAGGAAGGGGGATAACGGTGGAGGTTCAGTCTCCACGCTTCAGGAAGACGACTTATTCGGTGCAGGTGGTTGGGGTTCTGGGTACAGAACGGAGACGGCTGCCTGGGGGCAGGGGAGGAGAGACAGGGCTGTAGGGACCCAGAGGAAGGAATGGTGGGGCAAAAGGAAAGGGGCATTGGAGCCCAATGAATGGAGGTCGGGGGCTCCCTGGGAAAGGAAACTGCGGTGCCAAGGGCTGGGGTGCTGTGGGTGTGGTCGCCTCCCCACTGCTAACTGCTCTTTACATCCTCATTTCTCCCCTCCCAGAGGCCAAGTTACAGAAGTTTGACCTGTTCCCCAAAGCCCTGCTTCAAGCAGGCCGGCCGGGCAGCCCGCCCCCGCCACCAGGGAAGCCCCTATCGCCCGACGGTGCGGACTCGGGTCCCGGGACCTCATCCCCGGAGGTGCGGCCAGGCTCGGGCTCTGAGAACGGCGACGGCGAGTCTTTTTCGGGGTCGCCCCTGACCCAGGCCTCCAAGGAGGCAGGTGGCAGCTGCCCGGGCAGCGCTGGGCCTGGAGGCGGTGGCGAGGAGGACAGCCCAGGCTCCGCCAGCCCACTGGGCTCTGAATCCGGTTCGGAGGCCGACAGGGAAGAGGCAGAGGCTCCTCCAGCCCCAGGGCTGGGCGGGGCCCCGGGTCCAAGGCAGCGGACGCCGCTGGACATTTTGACGCGCGTCTTCCCGGGCCACCGGCGGGGCGTCCTGGAGCTGGTGTTGCAGGGCTGCGGCGGCGACGTGGTGCAGGCCATCGAGCAGGTGCTGAACCACCACCGCGGGGGCCTGGCGGCCGGCCTCGGCCCCACCGCGCCCTCGGATAAGGCTGCAGTGGGTGCAGCAGCAGCCGCGGAAGATGGGTGGCTGAGCCGTGTTGACGCCGCCGGGGGCCCCGGGCTGCCAGCGCCGCTGCAGGCCGGCCCCGCCGCACCCCCGCACCACAGACCTTTGCTAGCCGGCGCCATGGCTCCCGGGACGCTGGGTTCGCTGAGCAGCCGCTCGGCTTTCTCGCCTTTGCAGCCCAACGCCAGTCACTTCGGCGCCGCCGACGCAGGTGCCTACCCGCTGGGCGCGCCGCTCGGCCTTAGTCCCCTGCGCCTGGCCTACTCGGCGGCGGCGGCGCACAGCCGCGGCCTGGCCTTCATGGCCCCTTACTCCACCGCGGGCCTGGTGCCCACGCTCGGCTTCCGCCCGCCCATGGACTACGCCTTCAGCGATCTCATGCGCGACCGCTCCGCCGCCGCCGCGGCTGCAGTGCACAAGGAGCCGTCCTACGGCGGCGGCCTGTACGGGCCTATGGTCAATGGCGCCCCTGAGAAGCAGTAGGGGAGGGTCCTGGCAGCTGGGCGCCGGGCGGCCCCCAAACAGGGACCCCAGCCTTGTCCCCGTGGGCGGCCGGTCCCCCTTCGCCCAGTGCGCGCTCTGCTTCCCGGCGGGGGTCCTCTCGCTCCGAGGTGGTTCCCAGTTTTGTTTTGAAGGGTGGGTGGGAAGAGCTGAGAAAAGTGGAGCAGCTACAAATGCAGATGTCCTCGGAGGAGGTGCGAGGCCCTGATCCTCACTCCCCCACCCCCTCCCTAAGGTTCCCCAGCCCTTGCAAAAGCGACAATGCTTGCGAATTCGAAGTCTGCCTCCGTAGCAGCGCACGCCCATCCCGCCCGTGCGCTCCAAAGGATGGCAGGATGGTCCGAGAGTCTGTCTTCTGTGTCTCCCCTCCCTTTAAAGAATCTTAAATATTTGCTCTAACAAATACAAATTTAGGATGTATAAATCTCTTGGCACTGAGTCGAGTCTTTGGGACACACATATATATCGATATCATTGTTTTAAAAACGGAAAAGTTCTGCGGTGCACTTTCCTCATTGCGGTATTTGTCGCTCTTTGTCGCTTATGCCGGTAAGCATGGGTTCCCGTGGTGCAGTGTGTTTTTATATATGTATAAATCTATATATAACCTATACACATATATACAAGCCAGTGTATCATGTTATACAATGGAATTCTAAGTTATTAATTGTAATCTGTAGGTGACCTCGGTATTAACGTGAAAAAAGCCAAAAAAAAGGACAACATGGAAAAAATTAGACTCTACACGCATTGTACTTATCAGGTTTTATAAACTAAATCTATTGTAAACTCCCGGACGGATCTTGCTCACCTGCCTGGGCCGGCCTCTCCCTCAGGAGCGGTCAAGGTGAGCGCCGAGGCGGGAACAGAGCGACTTGGGACTGAGCCGGACCGGTCCTCCCGCGGGCCCGCCCCTCCTGCGGGGACTCGCCACACGCTCCGGCCCAGGGCGGCCGGCGGGACACGCAGCTGCAGAGAATGGCTCACTTCGTGCTTTCCTTTGCAGAGACATGAGCTAGAAATAAATGTTATTTTCTAAGAAAACCACTCCGAGTCCCGTCGGGCTCCTCGGGCAGCGGGATTGGAAAGGTCTTGATTTCCTGCTCAGGCCGTGGTTCCAGGGAGAAGCTGGACCGAAGTCTGGGCTGGTGCCCTGACCCTCAGGGGTGCGGGGAGGACGCTTCCCGAGGCACCTGGGAGGGCCCGCGGCGGGGAGCTCCGGGCGGAGCGGCGCCTCTGGAAGCCCTGTCCCCACTTGGCCGGGGCGCGGTTCAGCCGGGGTCGCCTGGCCAGTGCTCTGGGTGCCGGATCGCGAGCCTTTCCCCCCCGAGTCCTGCGAGGCTGGCAACCAGGTTCTGGTTCTCCCCGGGGCGCAGATTTGGGCTCAGGCGGGTTGCACACTGCACGCCTCCCTTCTCGGAGAGATTTGGGACCAGGGGCTGCCGGGGCGGCGGCTGGGGAGGGAGGGCCGCAAGGGAAGACGACCTTCCAGAGTTATTTGGGGGCAGTGGGTGCCGCTCCCGCCAGAGGTGAGGACCCCACTCTGCACCCCTTTTACTTCCCTCCTGGAGCGGAGCTGAGCAATTAGCGGCTCCAGGGCCCACCCCTCCTCCCGCGGTCCATCCCGCTCCGGACGGGGTGACTCCCCCTCTTCGGGAAGCAGGGCGCCCCCTCCCCTAGGCTGGCCCCGGCGACATCCCAAGATAAACTTCTGGGGCCGGCTCGAGTTCCGCCAGGCGGTGAAACTTAATAGCAGGACAAGAAAAACGGTTTAATAAAGAAGGGCTTTAATAGGGAACTAATTTGATTGAGTTGCCTAATTCCACTTTAATTGGAAAGGGGTTTGGCTGTTTGGTTATAAAGTGCGAGGGTGACGGTGAGATGGAAGTGGCGGGGGGAGAAGGAGCGAGAGAAGAAAGATGGGACAAGAGATGGACGCGAGGGAGAAAGTAGCAAGAAAGGAGCAGGGACGTTGCCGAGAAGCAGGGAGCGGGCGGCGAGAGCGCGGGGCGCCTGGAAGTGAGAACCTCCGCGCCCTTCACGCTGCGCCTCCCCAGCCTCCTCGCCCTCCTCCCGCCTCCAGCGGCTGCTCCCAGCCGCTGCCCTCGTCCCACCCGCGGGGAGCTAAGAAGGGTCTGGATTTCTTGATTTCAGGAGGGACCTGCACTGGGCGAGGGGGGCGCCCCTGGGCCCGGCCTCCCCACTCCCAAGAATATCTGGAGCTTCTTATTTGTCGTATTTTCGTTCATTCCCACAGCAAGCCGGAGAGAATCCAGTGAGCTGTTTATTATCGGCTCCACTTCACGGCGGAAAACTGAGGTCCAGGGCAGTTTAGGGACTTGTCCGACCATTCGGGTATTCCGGATCCTTCTCCCCACCGTTCCAGCGGCGGAGCCCTTCTCCTCTCGCAAGAGCTTTCTGCTGGCCCCAAGTGGGACCTCTGCGACCCCCTGCCGGTGCCCAGGCAGCCGAGCGGGGAGCGGCTGGCCCTGGAGCCCAGAGAGGCTGCGGTCTCTGACGGAGCGTCTAGGGTGGAGGTCAGAATGGTTCTAGTGGAAGTTGCGGGGGGGGGGGGGGGGGGCAGAGTAGTGGGGTTTCCAGGTGCGTCCCTTCCCTGCCCAGCGCATCTCTGCGGCCCAGGCCCTGTGATGGAAACCCATGGCGGCCAGTCACAGCCTTGACGCCTGGGAAGTCCCGCGTCCACGCACGCCCCTGACCCCACTGCCCACTGCGCTGCCAGGAATAGTGAGGCTCAGAGAATGCCGGGGACCAGCCCAGGATCACACATTCATGCTCCCAGGAGCCAGAATCAGAACCCAGAATCAGAACCTGGCTCAAGCCAAGTTGCTAAGTAGCAGTGTGTAGTCACTGTAGTGTGTGTGTGTGTGGGGGGGGGGGGGGGTAGGAAGCTGGGTGGGTGGGTGAGTAGGTGCCTCTCGTTGGGGAGTTCCTGGGGATGGGAGGGGCTGGGGCCTGAACTGGTTCCCCTGTGGAGGTTGCGGGCTGTGCTCACACCCCTGATGGTGAGGACAGAGGCAGGAGCATCTACTCTTCTCCGCTGGGAGGGGAAGGTGGGGTGGGGCCTCTACCATCCCTGTTGATTCCCTAACTCCCCTGCTTGCTGGTCCCGACCTAGTCTGGGCACTGGGAGGACCTGGGCCTGAATGGAGTGGGGGAGCTCTGACTGTTGAGGTGGTACTTATTTTAAAATTATTTTTCTCCTCCTCTTCCTCCTCTTTCTTCATAACAACAGCAGCAGCTGAGCACCGTTGAGTGCCTACTGTGTGCCAGGTCCAGTACTAAGCAGTTCTACACAGGATCCTGCTCAGCTGGCGAGAAAGAGCCAAGCGCTGGGATCCAGGCTCTGTCGCTGGCTGGGTCTGTTCATTCAGCAAATATTTACTAAGTACTTACTCTGTGCCAAACTCAGTTCTAGGAGCTTGGGATACACAAGTGTGTAAAACAGGCATCATTTCTGCCCTCTCAACATTCGCAGGGTGGTGGGGCTGCAGAGGTGATTTCACAGGCAAGGAGGATGCACTGATGTGGGCCCCAAGGGTCAGGGAGGTCTGCCCATGGAAAGGCAAGCTAGGCAGGGCGCTTCACCTCAGTTTAAGGGGCTCATAGTAGTGTCTGCCTCTCTGGGTGCTGTGAGGATTAAATCGGATAACATGCAAAAGCCTCTTAGCTCACTGCTTACTAACCAGGGGTTCATTCTCATGATCAGATCCTTTGGGTGGCTATTGTCCCATTTCACAGAAGAGAAGACTGAGTGGCTGGAGCAATTCTGCTTATAAATCCTCTAAAGCAGCAGTTCTCAACCTGTGGGTCACGATCCCTTTGGGGGTCGAACGACCCTTTCACAGGGGTTGCCTAAGACCATCGGAAAACACATATATAATTACATATTGTTTTTCTTTTTTTTAAAAAAAAAAAATTTTAGCTGAGAAGGAAGTGAGCCAAGTGGAAGTGAGGAAGGTAGTGAGCTGAGAAAGTAGTGAGCCAGGCAGAAGTGAGGGAGGTAGTGAGCTGAGAAGGAAGTGAGGGAGGTAGTCTGTTTTTGTGATTAATCACTATGCTTTAATTATGTTCAATTTGTAACAATGAAATTGGGTGTAATCACAACATGAGGAACTGTATTAAAGGGTCACGGCAATAGGAAGGTTGAGAACCACTGCTCTAAAGTGTCACAGATTATGGGAGATGCCCTGCCCAGAGCAAGGGGCCACACAGAAGGGTCATCAGACGGCAGAGTGTGGGTTCTGGAGATGCTTCTGAGAGAAGGCGAGTCCTGGGGGCAGTGGTGAGGGGCAGCATTGTGACCCACTGCAGGAAGTTGGTGAGGAGTCTTTGTGGAAGAACAGATGGAGAGGGACAGGCTATGATATTGGGCATGAATCAGAGGTCAGATCATGGAGAGCCTGGGAGGACCAGGGTAAGGGCCTGGGTTTCAGAGTGAGGGAGCCACTGACAGCATGGCCGGTGACATGTGCATTTGGATTGCATAGATTACTAGGGGGAAGGCTGAACCCCTCAGAAGAGGAGCCATGAGAAATGGTAGCACCAAAAAGCGATCAGGGAGAGAAGAGGTTGGCTTCAAAAACTGCCGGGAGCCAGACTCTCCACTATTGATCCAATGTGGGGTGTAAGCCAGGAGGAGGATTCACCCCTGAATCTTAGAAATGTCTGGGCTGGGTGACTCATTGCTGGAGACACTCAGAGTCGTGAGCCACTGGAGCAGAGACAAGATTCAAGGGTAAAGAAAAACGTTTGGTGTTCAATATCTAGAGTTTGAGGGGCTTATGGGGTCTCTAAGTGTGGGTACCAAATAGTTGAGTCAGCATGGGGTGGCCACAGGGCCTTGGGAGTGATGAAGTGGCCCAGTGCTTGCCTTCCTGTCCATAGGATAGACACAAGACACCCTGAGTGGAGGCTACAGTGTGTGTGTGTGTGTGTGTGTGTGTGTGTGAGAGAGAGAGAGAGAGAGAGAGAGAGAGAGAGAGAGAGAGAGAGAGAGAGAGAGAGAAACCCCAGACACTGGAGTTCTGCCTCTCCATTTCTCCATTTCTGTTCATGCCAAGAAGGCTAGTCTCTTAAAATCATTCTCTTAAAATTTTACACCTTGTAAAGGTCTCTGTCCTGGGGCAGGACCCTGAGCAGCCTGTCAGCAATGAAGTGTGACAACAATGAAGCGTAAACTTCAGGGTTCCCCACCAGTACAAGTAGGTCCCTATCAACCTGTCCATGCCTTCTACTTCCTGAAGCTTTAGATTCAGCGGCTCGTCGTTTTCCCACTTGTCCATCCCCACTCCCCATGCTTCTGCACTCTGGCCACGCTGAGCTCCTTAGAGTCACCTAAAAGACAATGCACTTTCCTGCTTCTTTACGCAGGTCCCTCTGCCTGCAAAGCCCTTTCCTTTTCCTCTACTTTGAGGATCATGCTCACCTCTCCTAAGGCCCAGTGATGCCAATGGAGCTTAAAGTCCAAGACTCATCATCTGTACAGGTCCCTTTCAAGGTCTTGCACTTTGTGCACATGGTCAAATGACATCTTTTTCTTAAAGTTTCAGGCCCCCATAAAAGCTGCATCTGCTACAGCCTAGCTTAGGCTATACCTTCTGGCTTCCTGATACTGTTAACTATTGCTGCATAACAAATAACTCCAAAATTTAGTGACTTAAAAAAACATTTTATTATCTCATGATTTTGTGGGTCAAAAATTTGGCATGGCTGGGTCATCCTTTTGTTCCAGATGGTGGCAATGGAGATCTCTCGGTGGTACTCAGCAGGTAGATTTGTTGGTCTGGAGGGTGATAACTTCAGACATATGTCTGGTGCCTTTGCATAGATGCCTGCACAGCTGGGGTCAACTGAACCATTGATTGGAGTACTACATGTAGCCCTTCCGTTATGGTGGCCTCAGGGCTTGAGACCTCTAACATGTTGACTTAGGCTTCCGAGAGTAGATGTTCCAGTGAGTACTTGAAAGCTACATGGCCCTTTATGACCTTGC